TAAAGGGATAGACTCTGGCCACACTGCACGTGCCAGATCCAGGCCTGCCAGCAGTTGCTGCCCCTGACCCAGTGCCAGGCAGCCAGTGCCAGCCAGCCATCCACCGCCCAGTCCCCCAGCTCCCAGGAGCCAGCCGGGGGCCGGAGATGGCAGGCGCCCTCCTGGACTAGTGTGGAGATCATGGACCTCATAGAGGTTTTTTGGGGGGGGGGGGGGGCACAACGACTAGTGTGGAGATCAATGTCTATGATCTCCACATTAGATGGAGGAACGCCACCATGTATGGCCGCATAGCTGCCACCATGGCTACCAAAGGCCACATGCGTACCCAGGACCAAGTGCGCATGAAAATTAAAGAGCTCCGGCAGGCGTATGCCAGGGCCACACAGGGCAGCTCCCCTACAGGAGCAGACACCTGTTCCTGTTTTGGTCCCCTGGACTGCATAATGGGGGGCAGGACAGTCCGTGCCACCCCGGGGGGGGGGGAGGGTGGGCAATGATCTGGGAGCAGAGAGCCCTGACCAGGATGTGGAGGAGGAGCTGCAGGAGCTGTCACAGAGGGTGCCACGCCGCCAGGACCTGAGAGCTGAGTCACCAGCAGCTGAGTCACCAGGGTTGTCTGGGGAGGCCACAACATGTGAGTGCCATCACTGTCCCCTTCCTGGGGGAGGGGGAAGGGAGGGAGGGAGACCAGGGACCACGCGCACATGGGCCTTGCTTACCACAGATAATGCAGCAACCTGTGCATGTGTGAGCATGTGCCGTGCCACCCCTGGGCAGGTGGTTCCAGCTGCCTGCCACACAGGGGCCTTGGCTAGGGTTACCAGGTAGATCCTCTCCTCCAAAATACTGGTGGACACACTTGATTGTGGGGGCAGGGGAGGGACCAGCTGGGAGGAGGGCGGAGCTGGTTGGGAGGAAGGGGGGCAGAAGGTGGGACTGGTGGGAAGGATCGGGGGCTGCGGGGCTGGCCTAGAGGAAGGGGAGGTGGGAAGCAGAGCTGGGGGAGAATCGGGGGCTAGACGGAAGGTGGGAAGCAGAGCTGGCCGGGGGGGAAGGGGTGCAGCCACTGGCCACAGCCAGAGTCAAACAGGCCGCACCCTCAGCAGACACTCCTTCTAGTTGCTAGTAGAAGCCAGGTGGGGGCGGGGGTAGTGTCTGGGAGCCACTTCTCCCGCCCAGTTTCTGCACGCAACCAGAGGTTCCCAGCTGGGAGGCGGGGCTGCAATTGGAGCCTCTGGCTGTGTGCAGAAGCCGGGCTGGGGGAGTGGCTTGAAGTCCCAGCCAATGCCCTGCCCGGCTTTTGCACGTGACCACAGGGCTCCCAGCACCAATCGCGGCCCCGCCTCCCAGTTGCTCCTCCGCCCCCGCCAGGCTTCCGTCCGGCGCCCAGCCGGAAATTCAGAAAATACCTGACATTGCACATGTCCGGTATTTTCTGAATTTTTCTACTGGACAGAGGGCGCAAATACTGGACTGTCCGATAGAAAACCGGACACCTGGCAACCCTAACCGTGGCCTCATAGCCACACGTGTGTGCGAAGAGACATGACATGCTCCTGACCCTGGGGCGGGACACAGCAGGACGCCCTCCCTTCACAAGTCCCCTCTACACAGAGGCAGGTAACATCTTCTCTCTCTCCCCCCTCCCCTCCCCACCTCAGCTGCACTATACACAGAACTGAGGCATGGATGTGGTCTTGGGGCAGCTCCCACTCCCGGGGATAGCCGGACATTCCGACCATGGCACGTTGGCTCTGACAGTTCAGGGCACAGTCATCCTCACCTTGCAGAGGGGGGCTGGGCTTCACCCACTGTGTCCCCAGGGAGAACTGACCACTTCTCTTCTTTCTCCACAGCCACACCAGCTGCACGTGCAGGGTCCACCACCCCGCCCGGGATGTGCTCCCGCACTTGAGGGCTCCGCAGGTCCACCCGAATAGTGCACGGGTACTGACAGCAGCGCCTGGCGGCACTGCGAGCCCTGCACCGCACCCTCCAGAACTGGGTGCAAGAAGACCTGTAGCTATGGGGGGAGTAACTTGCCCAGGGCCGTGCCATCTGCCAACACCTGTAGGCCCTGGTGCAGAGCGTGCTGCCTCCTGCCACTCCAGCGCCTGCTGCCTGCCCGGCTACTGCTCCTCCCCCACTCCTGCTTCTCCCTCCCCACCCTCCTCAACCTCCACACCCTCCTCCCCATCCCCCCGAGGACACCGAGGTCCCTGCATCCGCTGTGCTGGGAGACAGATGGCCTGGTGAGACCCCCACCACTGAGCTTCCCCTCCCACTTCTTTCCCTTGCTTCCCCCTTCCAGCTCCCTCCTCCCAGGTTTCCCCCTCCCTTCTCCCACCTCCTTTCCCCAGTCTCCCCAGTTTTCTTAAATAAAGACAGTTCGTGTTTTTGAAAAAACTTGCATTTTATTTGACATCGAGGTAAATAAGCAAACAGAGAAACCTGAGAACCAGCTGTCCGAGGGCAGGGAGGGGACGGGGGCCTTTAAGTAAAGACTTCAGTTAGCCTCAGGCAGCAGCCACACAAGATAAGTCCTGACCTGGTCCCCTGCCGGAACTGGTTCTGGCTATGCTTAAATGTGATTCACAGTCCACTCAGTGTGGACGCACTATTTTGAAATAGCAAAACGCTATTTTGAAATGCATTTGTGTATAGACATGTTATTTCGAAATAAGATATTTCGAAATAACGCTGTAGTGTAGACATACCCTCAGTTATGTTGTTCAAGTAGCTGGAGTTACATACCTAAGATCAACTTTCTGAAGTGTAGACATAGCCTGGGTGTCCTGTTTCTTTCTCCTTTTCTTCCTGCCTCTCTTCCTCTGAAGCCCATGAAATGGTTGAGTGCCCAGTCCTTAGAAATAACATTTCCATGATGTTTCTTTCATGCTGTCTCTACACTGGAAAGTTTTGGTGAGGAAAGTGCTGTCAACATGCAGAAGCTGCCAAAAGTGAAAACTACTCAAACTGTTTTTTCTGCATCCCATAGCCTTACTAGCAATACACTTACACTTGGTATTGACACAAGCACTCCTGGTGGCTATGTGGAGCAGCGCAGTGTGCACCAAATATATGCATATGCAAGGGTAATATACTAACTGTGATGGCTTTATGCTGGTATAGCTTTCATTGACAACAGTTCATAGTGTATATATATGGCCTCAGTAAAATATACACCATGATCTCTTATAGGAAAAAGAGGAGAAGCGCATATGGAAAAAAGGTATAATAAAAATAAAAGCTGTAGTACAGCGCTTCCCAATCACCAGGCCATGAACCGGTGCCAGGGTGTGAACCCCTGGCTGCCAGGCCATGTCTGCTCAGGGGGCTGGGGCTGAGGTACACCTCAAAGCAACTTCCCTCCCGCTGCAGCTGTTGGGAGAGGCGTGTCCTGCCCTGCCTGTCAGCCAAGCAGCGCCTCTGATAGAGAGGGAGCAGCATGGAGAGTGAGGTGGGGCAGGCAAGAGCTAATTTGCATGAGGAACTAGCTTTCAAGCCAGCTTTCTGCACGTGCCAGCTCTGTGGGCCTGTCCCTCCTTCCCCCCCCACTGCCTCCCACAGAGGCAGCAATGTGAGGGGAGGGGAAGAGGCTGCTCCATGGAAGCAGCCCCTGTCCCCAGGGGGTCTGAGCTCCCTGCAGACAGAGGCTGCTCTGGAGGCAGCCTTTGTCTGCAGAGAGCTTGGGCGACTTAGAGGCAGCAGCATCTGTCTGCATCAGAGGCAGCAGTTTGGAGTGGCAACAGCCTCTGTCTGCGGGTCACCCGAATGATGGTTTCGGGGGCTCTCCGGGAATGGTACCGGAGCACATTGGCTGCTGTCCCTACCTCTGGGGACTATAAAATAGTTGTGTAACTGCTAAAAATATATGCAGTTACACAACTATTCAATTACATGCTATCCCCAGTAGCTGAACTAAAAAGAAGCAGTTTAATTTCTTGTAGACTCCCTTGGTATACCAAGTTTACTATGAGACTAGATTCTACCTTCTTATCCTCATGACACAAAGTGAAAGAAGAATCTGCTACATTAGGCTGTGTCCAGACTCAGGGGTTTTTTCGAAAAAAGTAGCCTTTTTTCGAAAAAACTTCACCTGCGTCTAGACTGCAGCCGCGTTCTTTCGAAATTAAATCGAAAGAATGCGGCTTTTCTTTCGACGGTGGTAAACCTAATTCCACGAGGAAGAATGCCTTCTTTCGAAAGTGCTCTTTTGAAAGAAGGCGTTCTTGAAAGCAAACAGGCTTTTTAGGAAGAGAGCATCCAAAACAGGCTTTTTAGAAAGAGAGCATTTTCGAAATTCCGCGTGTAGTCTAGACGCTCTTTTGAAAGAGGCTCTTTCGAAAGAGGCTTGCAGTCTAGACATAGCCTTAATGTAATACTCGTTTTGTAAAGGGTTGTTGAAAATGTCAAAGGTAGAGCTTAAGAGATGTGTTTGTAGAGACAGAACCCACTCTTTTTTTTAAAAAGTAGTGTTTTCTTGTTTCATATTGTCCTGAGCTTTCAATGTTGGTAAGTATAAAATGATGTTATTGCCTAATTGTACTGGAGATACTGTGAAGCATTCTACATTTGGAAAAATATGCCCGGTATAAGTCACTTATGTACCTTACCTATTTGTACTTCTCATTGTGTCTTTATGTAAATCTGTAAAAAAACAAAAAACAATACCAAAACACTGAGGAAAAAAGCAAGCCATATTCTTTTCTTCAAACTATTCGTTTTAGTGAAATGGTGCTCATATGAAGGCAGATCCATAATGTAATATGGAGGTAGGGGGGAGATGGAGATGTTCTGGTAATTTAGTAATTTTAATGGGATTTGTATGGGAACTGTACAGGTTCATTCATATTTATCTAAGCATAGAGGAATTAGTGTGTGGTGTAAATGTCAGTCTCTCAGATGGAGAACATTTTTTGTTTTGGCTGGCTGAAACTGAGCATGCATTTCAGTTATGTCAATTGATTCACTTGTGGTCTTCTGCTCTCTTACAGTCACTTTGTCCCACATAACACAGCTGGTCCTCAGTCATAACAAGCTCACAAGTAAGTACATTTCTTGTTGATTAACACTATTTTCTAGTTAATAGAAGCTTCATTGCTACCACTTGAACAGCATTCAAAAGTTGCCATTGAAGTCACGGACAGATCACTGCTTCCATGAGTCGGTCTTTATTGCCCATGACCTGTCCATGACTACATTTTACTAAAAATATCTGGCAAAATCTTAGCCTTATTATCTAAATAGTTGTACTACAGGAGATGGAAGGATACTGTTATTTAGCATTGATGTTCTGCAAGTCTCCTTCATTTTGTATGTTTTGTTTTGTTCTTCATTTGTGAGAGTAAGGTCCTTAACTGTGACTTTTATTTACAGTTTATCCATTTGAAATGTCTTTCTCTTGTGTCCTATCTGTTAACTTCCTACATCTCCGGAAATCTTTTTTAAAGTAATTTGCTTTGTTTGATTAAATGTGAAATACTACAATGTGCAGTAGGGATGTTAAATATTGTTTAATTGAATAGTCGATTAACCTCATGAATTCTTACTGGTTACTCAGCTATGCTATAGTCCCCAGGGTTGGGCCGGCAGCCAGTGCACTGTGCCCCACTCCCTAGGAGCTCCCTGCCACTCCATGTTGCTGCCTCTGTTTGAGGCAGCAGCATGGGGTGCCAGGTGGGACCTGGTCTGCGAGGGGAGCCAGTTTAAAAATCAGCTTCCCTCGAGGACCAGCTGCCTATTACTCAGCACTGCTGCTCCTGATACAGAGGCAGCAGCAGGGGGTGGCGGGCGGGAGCCAGTCAGCCGCTGTTGGAGGAATGGGGGTCTGAGCTCTCAGAGCTGGTGCGAGCTAGAACTGAGCCAGGGTGCCTGCCTACTGCCTCCTAATACACTTCAAATGCAGAGCTGCAATGGGAGTAGGTCCCAGACCTGGCACAAGCCAGGACTGAGCCGGGCTGCTGTCCAGCCTGCTAAAAAAATTACTGGTGGGGGAAATGTGTGCATTAACTGAGAAGCTTTTGCCTATTGGCTTCACCCTACCAAATTGGCTAAGGAGAAGTACTGTAGAAAAGGATCCGAGGATTCATGTGAATCATAAATTGAATATGAGTAAAGGATATGATGTAGTTGTGAAAAATGCTAATATATTCTTGGATATATGAACAGTAGTGCCACATGCAAGACTCGAGAGGTAATTGTCCTGCTTTACTTGGTACTATTGAGGCATCAGGTGGAGTATTATGTTGCATTTTTGGGTGCCATGCTTGGACAAAGATGTGGACAAATTGGGGAGAGTCATGAGGAAAGCACCAAAAATGATAAAATGTTGAGAAAACCTGATCTATGAAGAAAGATTTAGTGTGAAGAAAAGATTGGGCAGGTGGATATCATAGCAGTCTTCAAATATGTATCAGCCGCTGCTGAAACTGACCAGCGGCTGACTTGGGGACACCTGGGGCAGAGCAGCTGGGGTGCTGCTGGGTTGCCCCAGTAGCGCCGAGGAGCAGCGCTACTGGACCAACCCACCAGCACCCTAGCTGCTCTGCCCCAGGCGTCCGGAGAAAAGCCTGGACTGCTGGGTGGGGCGGGGGTGTACTAGTTGAGCTCCCCCCGCCCCCCAGCAGACCAGGGAGACGCGGGCAGGGGACCGAGACGCAGCACGGTCCCGCCGCCCGGGTCCTCCGCGACTTTGCTCCGCGTCTCCCTGGTCTGCTGGAGACCAGCAGACCAGGGAGACTGGGAGCAAAGCCACGGAGCACGCCGGTAGCAGGACAGACGGCGTCTGGGCTGTCCGCTGCCCGCGTGCTCCCCGGCTTTGCTCCCCGTCTCCCTGGTCTGGTCTCCCTGGTCTTCCTGGTCTGGTCTCCAGCAGACCAGGGAGACGGGCAGCAAACCCCGTTCGTAACTGCGGATCCGCCATAAGTCGGATCCGCGTAACTCGGGGACTGCCTGTAGTCTGTTTTGCTTATTGGTAAATCAACTACACTATTACATCCCTAATGTGTGGTGTTTAGCTGAAGTCAACATATTTATTTGTGTGTGTTTAAAACAAGAAATGAACTAAGTCTAATTTTGTTTGCAGTGATGCAAATTTTTGAGAGACGGGATTGCATTTTTGTGTCTGTACAGCATAACAAAATCAGGATCTTACTCCTTTGGAAGTTTGTTAAATAAGTAGTGAATCAGTACTGCAGTAGGGTTCCAGTTACTTAGAAAACTCTTGATAGTAACTTATCTTAAACATGCGTATTCCTGACATATGGAGGAATGGCAGATTTTTCATGGGTCATTGTAGGGGGGAGAATATTGTATGTAGAAAGAAAGCCAAATGACCCCAGGCTCACTCTTCCCTCAAACCCCACAAGTGCTGTGCCTCATCTGTAATTAAAATAAGGTGACTGCTTAAAGTCATTCTGTTTCCATCCTATTGTGACCTTGATGTGACTTGCTCTGGAAGCAGCTATCATGTGCAGAAGTGCAGGCTTGGATGGCACCTTGTCAGTCCAATCTAGTCATCTGTACTCTTGTGGGCCTTGAAGGCTCTGTTGCGTGTCTTTCTGGGTTCCCAGTATGTGCATTCCATTGAACATGGGATGGGGAATTCTAAAATACTATGTGGTGAAGGAAGGTGGAGTCCACACTAGGGATTTAAGTGTCTAACAGTCTCTGCTCGCCCATGTTTCCCACTGTGCCTCTGCCTTTGAAATGTAGCAAGAGCCATGGGCAGCTTTTACTACATTTAAAAGGCAGAGGTGCAGCCAGGATAGTGAGCTCCCCATCTCCCTTTATCGACTAATCAATGGAAATTCCATTGACTAATTAATTAACTGATTAATCAAAATTTAACATTCCTAGTCCACACAAATAAGGTGGATTGGGAAAAACAATTGAGTGAAAAGGAGGACAAGAAAAACTGGATGGGAGGAGGGAAAAAGAGATGATTACTGTGTTCACACTTGGATGGGGAATGGAGGGCTGTGTGAGTCCATTGCAAGTGGGTGTTCTAGAGCATTGATTCTCAACCAGGGGTACATGTAAGTCTTCCAAAAGGCGCATCAACTTGTCTAAATATTTGCCTAGTTTTACAGCAGGGGTCTCCAAACTTTTCTGCCCGAGGGCCGCATTAACTATCAAACAGCAGTTCGGGGGCCGACTACACACTTGAGGTCCAAATAAAAAACAATCAAAACATGGATGTTGTTTTTAATTATTTATTTAATATTATTTTATTCAGTTATTATTTAATAACACATTGATACACTACACATGAACACCTGTATTAGTGTGAATGGTGAAATTGTTTCCTGGATGCCAAAATAGCAGACATTTCTGGCTTTAGAAATCACTGTTTGAAATTGGGGGTGGTTCAATATGTTCAGCCTAAGACACTCACACTTGAAGAGATGTGATCGCTCTCCTATCATGCAGGGAATGAGGTGACAATTTGTAACATAGCCTCATGGAACAAGGGGCATGCATTTTAATGGGAAAAGCTGGTTTGAAAGCAGACACGTTATCACTGTGCCACAGCAACCAGACCGCCTCCTGCAATGGGCACCAGCTCCTCAGCCCCGCCCCCGGAGAAGTAGCCCCTCGCTCCTAGCCCCTGAGAAACCACCGTCGGGTTTCCTCCCCTCCGTCCAGCCTCCCGCAATCCTCTGCCGCCGGGTCTGATCCGGAGCCCGCCTTCAAGACCCCCCTTTTTCGCCTGCCCAGCCAAGCGGCATGTGGAGCCGTCCCTGACCTGGGCTACCTGCTGTCCCGTGCGCGCGCTGGGGCCTCGCGCAGCCGCCTGCGAATCCGTTTCTCCCGCTGACACCAATGCTCGGACTCAAGCTCAGGGATAATCTCGCCGGCACGCGGAAGAAGGCGGGGCCAGACAAAAAGGTCTCCATGGGCCGGATGAGAGGGCCTCGCGGGCCGCATCTGGCCCGCGGGCCGTAGTTTGGAGACCCCTGTTTTACAGCAATGTACATGAAAAGCATTCGTGTAGCCAGCCCAAATAACAGTGACAGTTTTGTATAGACGCAATGTGCAAGTAAGGCATTTTTTTCAGTAAAAGTGTGCTGTGGTGCTTATGTATTTGTTTGTCTCATTTTTTGAGAGCAAGTAGTTTTTAAGGTGAAACTTGGAGAACAAAAGAAAATCAGACTCCTGAAAGAGTTACAGTAGTTTAGAAAGGTTGAGATTCATGGGTTTACCAAAGAAGCTGGGAATGCTTGTCACTGAACTCTTTAAATTGTCTTCCCAGTGAATTCCAAGCAAGTCTAAATTCTTCAAAACATCTTCTGAGTTAAGGTTTTAATACCTAGGATTTACCTAAGGGAAATTGTTCCATGCGAAAAGAGATTGAGCTAAGGTTTGTGAGGGTAACAGAATTAGTTGTGTGTTGTCATAGCATGTAGAGAACAAATATATATTTTAATAAGAGCATATTGTATTTTTTTTAAAGACGTGGCATTAAAAGGTATGAAAGAATAGCTGAGCGAACATGGGTGCCAAAAGGTCAGTGTATAGTTGAGGTAAATTTTTAGTGGATCATTTTTCTCATAGCTAGTTATACTAGGAGAATCACAGAAACTTGATTTTTGGTCATATCTTCTCCTCCATATCTGCCAGCCTCTCTTGTCCCTCTTCTTACCTTTCCCATCTGGATCCCAACGAGATCTCAATATCCTTGCATAACTCAGACCATAGATTTCATGTCTACTGACATGTGAAAGACAACTAAGGAGCTTGCCCCAGATCCCTGTTAAATTTTCAAGAAAGACACCATGCCTTATGGTAAAATTTGCCCCTTAACGCCATTCATCTGCTCACATACTGAATTGCCTGAAATGAATGATCATTATGCTGTAGACGGCTGATGAGCAACTTTCAAAACTTGGCAAGTGCTTTGGAAGCTGTTAGATGCTTTCATCCAATTCAATCAAAGTCAGCAAAATATAGCATATGCCTACTCTTCAGAAGGCTGCTCCAGATCAACCAAAAGGTTAAGTTTAAATTTATGAAAGCACTAGTTCTTGGAAACTTTAGATATCATGCTTAATTCAGATACCAGTAAATTGGGGTAAAAGGAGTAAATCTTATAACTTCTACTAACTCTGACATTTAAATCAAAGATTTGAATGAATATTAAAGGAGTGCATGTCCATTTTTCCATTTAAGGGATGTTGTTGAACTGTCAGACCCAGAAATGTTTCTTATATGAAGGTAAAACCCAAGAATCTTCGTCAGTTCTCCAATGTTGGAAGTTAATACTCTTTCTAAAAGAAAAATAAATGTTAAGAGTTGAAATAGTGTTTCTCCCTTTAAAGAAGGCTAGATTTCAAATTCACGTTTTTGTTATCTGACACTCCTGACCTAATCCTTTAAGCGATATACTTAATTGTCTTAGTAGATTGCTCTTAAATTGACTTGGGAGAACAGTGGCAATGACATTTGATACGTTCCCCTAAGGTCATATTAGCATCTTTTACTAGTTTTCTGTCATATAAATGAATGTGCTTGCTTCTGTTTTTCTACTGGCTAGTAAATATGTCCTTTTGATAGAAGAATAAATATGTATAAAAGAAGTGGCTCTGCACATCCTCTTGCAACCAGTATCTTATTTTGCCAGTCAACGCAACTAAAATTAAGCAAAGCTTCATTAAAGTCTGATAATGGCATGAAATCCCATTACGCTGATCACACTGCTCTCAACGTTTTTTACCCCTAAAATGTCACCCTTTTGCACTGTTAACTTTGTAGTGTGTTTGAACAGTGTTGACTTGTTGGTTGAAGTCAATTAGAGCTTGTCTGCATGGCCAGTTAATGTGTAGTAAGTTGGGATGCGAATGTACTAACTGTCTGGACCTTTTTACTGTATGCTACAAGTTCTAATGCTCAGAGTACATTGCATGCAGGTGCGCTGTTCATTGATATCCCAGCTTGCTGCTCACTAACCGGCCATGTAGATGTTCCTCAGTAAGAGTGTACAGATTTCTGACAAGCAATGTTCCAGTTTCACCTTGCAGTGCAGCAAACTTTAGTAGAAGGGGAGGAAAATAGATAAATAGCACTCTTCCCCCTATATACGTATTAGGCCAAATGCCTGTCAGGTATAACTCATGCCTTCATTGGTGTTATACTATGGGTGATAATTTTTGATGGGGAGGAACACGCCAAGATTTTGGAATGTGGTCCAGGGTTGCACTCTTACATGGTATTAATGGAAGAGGTGTGAGGATCTGGGATGGAGATTGGGGTAAGGGATTGGGGTGCAGGAAAGCTTGTGAAGTCTGGGAGAGAATTTAGGTGAAAGATTTCTGCTTGAAATTGTTCTAAAGCTGTTTGTAAATGTTCACTAATAGGTGAAATTGAGAAGCAGTTTTAACATAGGAATAAATCTGGATAAAGGTTTCAAGGGAAATAACCTCATTTACTTAGTTAAATTTCTTCCATCTAGCAATCCTGTAAATGAGGCGAGTCAAAATTTGGGTAAATTTGTAAAGATCACAAGTGTCTTCATGGTATCTCTAAAACCTACTTGGAAGTAGGTATGTTAAATAGCAATTAATTTGCTAGTTGAAAAGTTGATGCAATTTCCATTGACTACTCGACCAGTCGATAGGCACTTCTGCATTCCGCCTTTGAAATGTACAAGAGCCCCGGCAGGCTCTTGTGCGTTTCAAAGCAGAAGTTCTCGCCTGGAGTCAGCGGGGGCTCTGAGTCCCCTGCTGACCTCAGGTTCCATACTGTGCTTCCTCTTTGAAATGCACAAGAGCCCTTCTGGGGACTCTTGTACATTGCAAAGCTGGCACGCTGCTTGGAGCCCGGGGTCAGCTGGAGAGTCCCAACTCCGTGTGGAGAGACCCAACTCCGTGTGGTGCTGCTGCTTTTAAGTATCCCTTCTTTGCTGCCTCTATCCGATAGAGGCAGCAGCGGTGGGGGGGTGGGGAGAGAGTGGGCAGGGCAGGAAGCAACCACTGTTAGCAGCCTGAACTGATCATGCAGGACAGATGTACCCCATGCAGGCTCCATGCTTGTGATGATGTATTGTGCTTCATTAAGTGCCCAACAGTCTAAAACAATATGAAACTTCTGCAGGGCAGTACAGTTCTGGTGGATGGAGAGACTATTGTGAGCTGCTGTGGGCTGA